CCGGATCTCTGGGGGTAGTTCGTTCCAGAGGGTGGGAGCTCCCACCGAGAAGGCCCTCCCCCTGGGGGTCGCCAGCCGGCACTGTCTGGCTGACGGCACCCTGAGGAGACCCACTCTGTGGGAGCGTACCGGCCGATGGGAGGTAACCTGCGGCAGAAGGCGGTCTCGGAGATATCCAGGTCCGATGCCAGGTCCGATGAATTTCCAGAGAAGCCTGACAATGGTTATAGTAAGTCTGCTGGGCTAAGACTACCATCTAGTGGCTATTTAAAGACACTCCACCTGGGCCCAAGGAGTCCTTGATTTACTATATTTTCTTTTCTCCGACACCTTTTAAAATACAAGATTGAGTTTTATAAATACTGTTGTTTTGCATCGATCTGGCTGCACAGGTAGTCCTCAGTTAGTGAATGCTTCATCCAGTGCTTTGTTCAAAGTTAACAACAGTGCTGAAAAAAAACAACTTTATAACCAACGTCAGCATTTATGCCCTTGGCAAGGTCTCTCAAGTCACAGGATTGCCCTTACAGCCAGTGTGCATTCTCCTGTGCATGACCTGTTTCCCCCCCCCCCCTGCAGAGGAGAGAGAAAGGGATCGCAAGAGAGTAAACAGACACACAATGGAGAATTCACTGGGCTGTTTGTGTAGAGCAGTGGTTCTCAACCTTTTTAATGCCACGACCCCAACCGGTCGTAAGTCGAGGACTAAACCGGTCGTAAGTCGAAAACTAAACCGGTCGTAAGTCGAGGACTACCCAACCGGTCGTAAGTCGAGGACTTTCCCTGCCCGGGAGCGCCGCGCATGCGTGGTTCCGCCCCCTGCGCCGGCCGAGGCGTAGCTGGCAAGCGGCAAAGACGGAGCAGGCCGACCACCAGCTGGCCCAGCCCAAGGGAGGTAAGGCACCCGTCGGAAAAGGGGAAAAAAATGGCGGACAGCCTTGCTTGGCGACCCCCGTGAAATGGTCGATCGACCCCAAATGGGGTCCCGACCCACAGGTTGAGAACCACTGGTGTAGAGGGCTTATGGCTGTTGGTGCCGTTGCATTCCAAAGGGGAGGGGAGGGGTTAGGAGGCTATCAATTTTGAGTAGGAAAGCAGTTGCTTAAAGATGGAATTCCCAGTCCCAATTATGGTCCTTAAACAAAGACTTAGTATAAATACCCTACTCATACCTCTGGAATCCCTTTGGAGAGAGGTCTGCTTTAGGAGCATATGTGAACCTAGCCATTGTGGATTAGCAGTGTGGATGAACCAGACTAGAATATTTGTCTTCCCCTCCAAAAGTACACTTTTAACCCTTTCTTCACCCGCTCCCTCTTTCTGAGGAAGGATCAGAAAGTGACTAATAGTTATTCCCTAAAAACCAGCAATTTGGTTCATCTGGAGCAAGTGAATGGTGCTCATTGATTCCTTTACAAATTGATTCCCCACGGCTTGGTACAGGTTAAAAGAGGCAACAAATCTAGGATTAATAAGATTGTGTCCTTTTACTGCACAAAGCCCAAAACTATACAAATCCTTCAGATTCTAGAGTTAACATATAAAACCAAGCACAAACAGATCTTGGTCTCTGTTCATTTATGGTGATCATTCGTTCGTGATCGTTCCCTGATCATGACCTTATCTATGCCTAGGCAATTGGATTCTAGAATCCCACAAAAAGGATTCAAAGGGGTGGTGCCTCAAATAGCAAGGAAATATTAGGGATGATAATAATAATAAGGATTCCTTGGAGGTAAAATAAGAGCTGCAGATTTAAGAAGTCTGATTCCAGCCAGTTCTGGTCAGCCTGATAAGTCTTTGCCCATTTCAACTTGGGGAAAAGATTAGTTCCAAGATCTGAAAGAACAGGATATTGACTTACGTTTCCTGCTGCAATTCCAGTTGTCTGTGCTGCAAGAGCTGTGGATTTCTTTGCGTTCTTGAACCCCATGTAGCCACAGGTTAGTAAGACCAGAGGGACTTTCTCAGCTGTGAAAACCTGGATGTGAGTGCTACAGGAATCGTGGGATGACAGGAACAATGTTAGAAATCCATATGCTGTGCTATTTTTGGACAAACCAACCCCTAACGTTTTTTCATATTTTTTTTTGTATCCCAATTAACTCAACGTCTAGCATCAGATAATTAAAAGATCCATGGTGGCACAGTGGCTAGAGTGCTGTATTACAGAATAACTCTGCCCACTGCCAGTTCGATCCTGGCTGGCTCAAGGTTGACTTAGCCTTCCATCCTTCTGAGATTGGTAAAATGAGGACCCAGATTGTTGAGAGCAATATGTTGACCTCGTAAACTGATCAAAGAATGCTGAAGGGCTCTATTGGGCGGTATATAAATCTAAGTGCTATTACTAACGGTTCTGCGCGAAGAATCTCCAGTCACTTACTTATTGTAAGTAGCTTTGATATGAACTATTGGAATTTCGTCAAACTTCTTTCCATCCCAGTGCATGGAGCTTTCTGCTCCCGGTGCTGGAGGGAGATAGCTGAAAACAACGAGAGAGAACATAGCCACATCAGGCACTTCCACAGCTCAGACAGCCCACCAATATTCAAGAGATCTAAGGATTATTTTATCAGATTATCAATGGGTATCTTTGTTCAAAGATGCTCACACAATAGGATTGTACCGATATTCAATTTCCCCCTTTTAGCATCTGCACTCCAACATACTAAGCCATAAACCACTGTTCATAAACTCAAAGCCAGTTAGTTTCACACAATACGGTAAGCCAAAAATCAAATAAAGAGCATCATGTCTCATTCTGACTCAAGATGTTCAGGAGGAAGAGAGTGGTTTGTTTTTTTCTTAAATGTTCAAATTGGAGCACCTCTTCCCTCTCCTGAAATTTGATTGACCACCTTTTGATGCAGCTCTCATCCAAACTCAAATCATTAAAAATATGAATCAATAAAGCCCTTGAGGCTTTTAGAAACATGGTTAAAAAAAACCTGGCTGTTCCATTAAACTAATGAGTTGGATTGTTTTGACTGCCTCTTGGGTCACGAGATTGAGCTTTTCACGTTTTCATTTGTGATTTTTGGGTCCACTGGAACATGTTTCAGTAGTTGCTTTTAAATATCTTGTAGAGTTTTAGTCCCAATTAAAAGTTGGGAGTTGTATATTGCTCAATTCGTTACAGTAGCCTAAAAGCTCTGAAAATAAATGAACAGGTGATCCAGCAGGGGCAAAAATTATAATTCTACGATGGCAAAGATCATAAGTAAATTTCTAAAAAAATTACACTTTCCAAAACTGGGAAAAAACAAATATTGCGAATTTCATTTGTGCACCTCACATTGGCAAAGTTCCTTGAAGCAACCTAACCCCCATTTTACACACACCGTCACAAACTCTCCAATGCTTGACGTAATCTGAGACAAACGTGACTATTTTTTTCTGTTTTGTTTCTTTCCTGGACATTTTTGATGGTTAAAAAAAAAGAAAGAAATCTTGCAAATATGCAAGAACACAACGAGACAAACTAATATCTTGTTAGATTCCTTAGAATACAACTTTTGAGAAACACATTCTGATTTGACGTGTTACATTTCAAAATTTGTCTCTTTCCTGCACCCCCCGCCCCCAATATGTGGAATGCCCTATTCACAAAATGCCCCATCACCATTGCAACCACGCACACCATATAAGCATAAATCTGCATCCCAGAACGTGCAACATTAACTCACCTGAAGCCCTTTGACTGTGTGGAATCTAGCTCTTTGTCTGTTGCCGAGTCTGAGTTTTCCAGTAATTTTTGAAACCTCTGGATGCCCGTCTGTATACTCCTAGGAAAGGGGATGCTGAAGCAGTTGCCAAGAAAGAAAAGCAGAAGATCAAAATTTTAAGAACTGCATGTTGAGGAACGAGTGCAGAATTTGTACGGACCGCCAGGGTTGGTCCATTTGCTTCCAGCTGCTGAGAGGATAATTTTACAACATGTGACCTTCCAGATGTGGGTCCTGCACACTCAAGCTACCTGGGCAGTGTTATATCTCCATGACTCCCTTTAAGCTAGAACTAACCTGGGTGCCCATCCCATCCAGGCTTCCACAGCAAAAAACGCAAAAGTGAAAACATTTCATTAAGCCTAATGACAGCGATTCAGCAAAAGTTTTGTCAACCAATCCAATAAAACAAACCGCAGGAAAAAGGAATAAGAATTGGACACATATATTGGTGTCCTGTCAATGACCTTTTCTAATGCTTAAAAGCTTTTCAGATGCCTGGTGCCTACTCTTATGCAGCCCCCTTTCTTTTGGGGCAGCAAATGGGCATTCAAATCCTCATCAGCCAGCTCTTGCAGGCTCGCAACCAGCCTGGGATTGCAGAACCCATGATTCCCAGTTAGCATGGAGATTGTAGTCAGGAGTAGAAGACGCTTCCCTGTGAAAGGCTGCCTGAAGCCTCCTCCCCCCCCCCTCCCAAGTGGTTCCTCGCCCCCCACCACAAAAGGGTGGGGGATTAAGACCATTCGCCCTGCCTGGGCGGTGGGGGACGCAGGATGATGGGAACTGTAGTCCTCCAACTCCTTTGCAACGCAGGGGACTCGGTGCATGCGCAGATCATCCTCGCTGAATCGCTCTGGGACCCTGAAGCAACTTAAGATCATCGGTGCGGGGAGGCAAAGGGGGCGGGGGGGGGGAAAGAGGCAGAAATGCAGCAGGAAGGCTGGACCTGTTGGATTTCCGCCTTCCTTCCGCTGAAAAGCGGGAACCCCCAGCCTTTGCAGCCCTAGAAGACGGACCGGCCACCCCACTTTTTTTCCCGGCTTACCCCGAGCCGCCCCCCAAGAGCCCCCGCCGGGCGATCCCCAGCGCAGCCTGCATGGCTTCCCCCGCTGCGCCGTCCTGGATCCAGAGGAGGCTTCCAAAGGAGAAAGGGGCGGAGCCTCCGCCGCCGCCGGCGGGCAAATCTCGCGATACGCGACTGGCGAGGAAAGATGGCGGCGCCCAGTGTGGGTGCTCCCGAGCAGGAAACGTCTTTATCCGTATGAGATTTAAGCCCGCCCGCCCCGTTTTTTTTTAGGCTCCTATGGCGCTCCTCCGCGGGGTTAGCTTCGGGGAATTCCCTGCGGGAATGCAAGCCGCTCAAGGAAGCCGTGGGGTTAGGGTTCCCTTGACCGAGCAGGGGGCTGGACTAGAAGACCTCTTGAGGTCCCTTCCAAGTCTCCTGCTTCTGTTCTGTTCCATTTTCTATGCCATGCCATATTCTATTCCATTCCATTCCATTCCTCCTTCCGTTATATATTTCATTCCTCCTTCCGTTATATATATTTATTTGCTACGTACATGTAGGGGTGTGGGTCTGTACATATGTTGTTCATAGTATGTTTAGGTGTGCGTCATGTATGTGTGTTTCACTTTGAGAGCGGGCAACTAAATTTCATTTTTGATGCGTGCCATTGTGCCCACAGTAAAAAAAAAAATGACAATAAAGGTTATCTTATCATTCCATTCCAATTTTCTATTCTATTCCTATTTCTACTCTTTATTAATTCAGCCTGACAGGGGATTGGACTAGATGACCTCCAAGGTCCCTTCCAACTCTTCTTGTTGTTGTTACTACAATTACTACTTCGGGTGGGGGATGTAGATTTTTTTGGGCCTTTGTCTTTCTAATCCCATCAACTCCAAGCTTTCTGGCTCTAGTCTTTCTGAATAGGATTATCAAATCTGCATTTCTAAAAGCTGGTTTCTGCTTGGGGCAGAGAGACTTGGGGGGGGGGAGATGGTTTCTGCCTAAGAGTTTCTATTATTCCTTTGGGGAAGTACAATATTCTGCCTTTTTAATATTCCCCAAAATATTTCTTTCTTGGGTGTGTGTGTGTGTGTGCGTGCTGTCTTCCTACACTTTGAATAGTGTTTTTTTTTCCTTCTTCCATGGATCTTGGCTGAGCCCAGAAAGCTTGTCTCGGCCTCTCTCAGGCGCAAACTCTCGGAGGGAGGCGGCATTGAAATGAAGGTCTCTGGAGATGCTCGGTCATCCAGGTCACGGTTGTCCCAAAGGTGGGTTTTTTTCCCCCAAGAAACAACTGGACTTTCTTGTTTCTCTTTGAAGACGTTTCGCTTCTCCTCCAAGAAGCTTCTTCAGCTCTGACTGCATGCTGACTCCATTCTTCAAAGAGAAACGAGAAAGTCCAGCTGCCTCCTGAAAAAAAGCACCTTTGGGACCACCAAAAACGAAGCCAGGCTTCCAGCAAGGCGGCCACAACGAGCCTCTTGTCCAGGGGTCTTCCAACTTGGCCCTTTTATGACTTGTGGACTTCAACTCCCAGAATTCCTCAGCCAGGCACGCTGGCTGAGGAATTCTGGGAGTTGAAGTCCACACCTCTTAAAGTGGCCAAGGTTTTTAGCAATTTGATAGAGACACAACTTTAAAATTTGATTTAATTCGGTTTTATCGGGGGGGGGGGGAATGTATTTATGTTTTGTTTTAAATATGTTGTGCGCCGCCCTGAGTCCCGTCGGGAGAAGGGCGGCATATAAATTAAAATAAATAAATAAATAAATAAATAAATTATTTCCCCCTCACATTATGTCAGGGGTGTTCAAACTTGGCCCTTTTATGACTGGTGGACTTCAACTCCCAGAATTCCTCAGCAGGAATTCTGGGAGTTGAAGTCCACCAGTCATAACAGGGCCAAGTTGGAAGACTCCTGCTCTTCTCCACCCACCCCTTCCCGGAAGGGCCTCCGAGTTTCGAAGTTTGCCGGAAGCGGAAGTTCGCATCCGCCGGCCAGGCGGGCGCCGCGCGGCATTGTGGGCCTTTGGCGGAAAGATGGCTCCCCTCAGCCGGGCGCTGCTCGCCCTCCGCACTTGGAGCCGCTTTTGCGCCGGCCGGCGGGCGCTCTCCGACGGGCCCAGCGCCGCCTCGGGATGGAAGCTCTACGGGGCGCTTTGCCTGCAGCGGAGGCCGCTCCTCGCGCAGCCGCCCAGCCCGGAAGAGGAGGAAATGGCCGGGCTGACCCAGCAGGTGGGCGAGGCGTCGCCGGGGCTGGAGCTGAGCGCTGCCCGGGGACGTGGGGAGGGGGGGCGAGCTGGGTTGCGAGGCTTCCTTGGAGCCGAGGCCTTGGAGGGGCGGGAGGAAGACCCTCCCTCCTATTGCTTGGGGCACCGGGCAGCGCCAGTCCTTCCAGAAGCCGCTGGGGTCTCAGCCCTAGAAGGAAATGAATGGGGGAGCCCGGCGATGGGGCTTTGGGGGGGGTCCTGCTGCGGGCATCTGGAGTCCTAGAGATGGGAAGGCCAGGAAAAAAAAACCCTGAAAAAATGGGGGGGGG